GGCCGCTTGGGGCGGTCTCGGAGCGGTATTTGGGTTTCTTGGAGCATGCGGGAAACAATGTTGATCCATCTTGGGCTATCTTGAACCATCTGTGAGACCGCGTTGCATTCTGCGAGGTCATGCCGGCTCTATCTTTGACCGTCCCGGGCGCTCCACCGATCCGCCGCCCCCCATTGCAGGCCCCGGAAGGAGGGGGGGGAGGGGCGCATCCATCCCCGAAGGGAAGACTGGGGGTTGTTGGAACAGGAAGCGCTCTAAACCACCTCCGTCCTGAGATCTGGGGGCATTGCGTTTCCCCCTTGGTCTGACCACAGCGGGAAGTGGGGCATGGAGGGCGGGGCGAGGGCCGCGGGCCCGAGCAAGGGAGAGGGGGGGGGGGCGAGAGGGAGGACCAGGAAGGTTAAGAAGGTCAGAAACGGGAGGGTGGGGGGCTCCAGAAGGCGGGTAGGGGGGAGGTGGCGTTTCCGGGGGGGGGAGGTGGAGGGAGGCTGGAATAATGAGGGCGCGTGGAAGAGGAGAGGAGGTGGAGAGAGGTGGGAGGAGGAAAGAGAAACGGAAGGGGAGTGGCGCCTCCGTCGGGCCGGGCCCGGAGGGGCCCCGGGGGGCGGGGGGCGGCCGCATCAGGTTTGGTTTCTGAAGAACCTAGGGCGCCAGGCGGCGGCCCCCTGCCCGCCAGCGGGGGGGCTGCCAAAAGGCCCTGTCCTGTCGCGGTACGTTCGCTTGTCGCCCGACAGCGAAATCGCGCTCGATCCTCGACCCTCGGGGGGGGGGGGAGACCGCCCCCTTTGGGGGGCTCCCGCCTGTCGGGGGCAACCTACAAGTGTTTTGGGTTTGCTCACCTTCTGGGGGTACTTCGCAGATTCCTTTTTTGGCGCGCCGCCCCCGGGGGCGACTTCTGGGAAAGGCTCGGGCAAGCGTGTGCTGATGTTTCAAGGAACCGCGCCCCCAAAGTAGGTCGGAAAGTAGGTTTGCAGAATTTGTTTTTGCAAAGTAGGTTCCAAAGAAGGTTTCCGGATTCCAAAAGTAGGTTTTCGGTAGCGCAAAATAGGTTTCGGAGGCTTCAAAATAGGTTTTAGGGGCCTCAAAGTAGGTTTCGGAGGCCTCAAAGTAGGTTTCAAACCTACTTCAAACCTACTTCAAACCTACTTCAAACCTACTTCAAACCTACTTCAAACCTACTTCAAACCTACTTCGAACCTACTTCAAACCTACTTCAAACCTATTTCAAACCTACTTCAAACTGTTTTCGGAAGCATGGAAGGTCAGGGATTGAAGGTAGGAGGAGGAGGAGGTGGAGGAGAATGTGGGGGAGGAGGAGGAGGAGGAAGAGGAATGGGAGAGGAGGGGGAGGAGGAGGTGGATGAGGAGAGCCGGGAGGAGGATGTGGAGGAGGAAGAAGAGGAGGAGGAGGAGGAGAGCCAGGTCGAGGAAACGGAGGGTCAGGAGGAAGGAGGAACAGGAGAGAGGAGTAGGAGGAGGAGGACCAAGAGGACCCGGAGGATCGGGCGGAGGATGAGGGGCGGATGAAAGGGGGGATGAGGGGGAAAAGGTAGGAACGAGATGGGGAATATGAGGGGGAGGAGGAGGAGGGGGGGGAGGAGGAGGAGGAGGAGGAGGAGGAGGGGGGGGCGGGGAGGGCGGGGAGGATCGGGGGCAGGAGGATGAGAACGTGGATGCTGCGGCTGACGAGGGGGAGGATGGTGAGGCAAGGGGGGCGATGATGGGAAGCATGATGTGATTGATAACGAGTGGCTTTGGGGAGGGCAGAATGACCTTGGGCGGGGCGGCCGCGATAATGAGGAGGAGCCATGGCGTGTCCGAACCCCGCCGGGGCACGGTATTGGTACGGGGTGATTGTTGGTGGCGGCCCGGCTTGTCCGGGATTCCTTGAGTTGCGTTGTTCGCCGTGCCAGTTGCTGGGGCTGCCCCAATTGATTTTTGGGTCGCCCATCGTCGTGACTGCTTTTCTGGAGGGTCGTGTTTTCGGAGGTCTTCTCCGCAGCCGCTCTCGTTAATTTTTTATGTTTAGTGCCCGAGAGTGCATCGCGCGAAAAGTGTCGCGGCCCCTGCCTGAAATGCAGCCCTGACGCCGTTTTTCATTGCAAACCTTCTTGGCGAGGTTACCGCGGCCAGGGAACGTCCCCGGGTGCACTCGCCAGGGCTAGTTTGGCGAATTCGCTTCGCCAACTTAGCTGCCCGCGGCATTTGCGCCGACGCGCTTTGGCAAACCCAGTAACGGGAGGCTATCTGCCCGATGACACGTTTTCCCCGCGCGTTGCACCTTCTTCCTGGAACCTACTATGCTTGCGAACCTATCTCCCGAACCTACTTTTGAACCTATCTAAAACCTATATCGAAATGTTTTCTGTTCGCCATTGCCCTGCATTGCTGGGGAAGTCTCGGCCCTCCCTCCCTCCCTCCCTCCTCCTCCGCGCCGCGGGCGTTCAAGGTGGAACGCCGCCCATGGTCCGGGATCGTCATATGTTGAACGATCCGGCTCATCGGGAAGTCCCGATCGTTGAAGGTCGACCGATCCACGCGGTGTCAGAAGCCAGCGCCGACGTCGTCGCGACGGGAGCCTGCCGTACATGGTTGGCGTTGTCCAGCAGCCCCCGTTTTGAGATGGCTTGTGGCTGTGCTGCCTGGCTAACGACCCTTCCCCGCTCGCGGGGGTCCTGGCAACGGTTCCCGCGCTTCCGTGTGCGCGCGTGGCAGTCAGCCCTCTTTGGTGATCCGAATTTGCACAACGTCCATGATGATCGATTCGACTTGATGACGCCCGGTCATACGTATTGATTCATTTTCCGCGGCGTGAGCGCGTTCAACACGCGTTCCTTCGCGTGGAGGCCTCTGCGAGCCGATTGTGTGAATCGTGCGCAGATCTGCACTTCCAAGAGCGTTCTGTCACAAAGGCGTGGGCCCCTGGAGGGCCGCAGAGACACGTTTCTTCACCCCCCCGTGAAGGGACACCGCCCTTCGTCCTCCTCTTCCTCCTCCTCCTCCTCCCTCCTCTTCATCCTCTTCCGCCCTCCCCCTCATTCTCCTCCCCCTCCTCCTCCTCCTCCCCTCCTCCTCCTTATCCTCTCCCTCCTCCTCCCCGTCCTCGTCCTCCTCCTCCTCGTCCTCCTCCGCCTCCTGAGAGGCGCGTGCCGACCTCGAAGAAACCCCTTCTGAAAGCCCCCCTGCCTTCTTACAAGGCCGCCCCCTCGGACTGCCCCTTCCTGCGAGCCGCCGGCCCGCGGCCAGTCGCGGCCGAGCCCCCACCCCTCATCCTCGAAACTCGAGGACCGACCTTCGACCCCATCGAGGGAAGGAGGAGGACGAGAAGGGGGGGAGGGGGTGACCTCGATAGGGAGATCGACAGTGAGATCCACAATGAGGCTCATGGACAGATCGATCGTGAGTGTCGCTTGCAACCACCTCGCACCTCTGGGACCAGAGCTGCCCTGCACTGATATCGTCCACCTGTTCCTTCTGAGACATTCTCGCATCTCTGGGCCCAGAGATTCCGCGGGAGAGGTGATCTGGCAAGTTTCGCCTACGGCATCCTCACAACTCCAGGGCTGCGCAAGAGCACGGGAGTGCGAGGGAGTGCGGGAGAGCGGAAGGACTGACTTTGTAATCCTGGACTAAGGCCCTGTGTTGTTCGCCCTCTTTTCGGCCGTGTCGGAAGCATCTTGAGTCTCTTGGACTCATCTTGATACCTCTCGCATTTCCCAGTTTCGTACCCCTTCCAAGGCCAACGCAGTGGCGGCGTCAAGCGGAAGAAACATGCCGACCCCCCCCCCGAACGAACGCACGACTTTCGCAACATGCCCCATCACGTACAAATTCGGCTCAAACCATTGGTCACGTGTCGCCCCTCTATTGCGGAGGCGCCTCTCGTGAAGGCGCCGCGCGTCGCCAGGGCTGTACTCTGACACTCTGCGCTTCGGCCGCCATGTCCCAGGGCCGCATGCTCTGCCGAGGAGCCCACGGCGCCAAAAAGAACACACCATTCGCACAGACGGGGTACGACGGGTACTGCAAAGTGTGCTACCGCAAGTTGTTCCCCCAAAAATACGCCCAGAAGCAGCAGGCTCGAAAGTCTACATGCAATTTTTGCGGAGAGTCACGGGAGCTCGTGCGCAAGATCATGTGCAAGCCATGTGAGCGACAAAGGGCCTGCCATGTGGACGGGTGCACGTGGTACAATTCGGAGGACCACCCTCTGAGATGCTCCGCATGTGTGACGCCCCCCAAAAAAAACCCACGCCGTCGCCTTTTCATGTGCCATGGGCTGCCCCACGCACACGACTGCCGACGAGCGCGCTTCAGGTTGGTGCCATGCGTGCGCCTCGACTCAGACCTCTTGCACCATGTGCCGCGCAACGCTGCCGAGTGCGTCGATGACCAGAGCGCCATGCGCTACGTCCACATGCGGCTCCACTTTCCCATTGTGCTCACCTTGCGCGGCGTCCAGCCCCAATGAGACCTGCGGGAATTGCTGGATTGCTGATGGCCGCCTGTGCAGATATTGCACTACCACACCCGCGCACAGAGACTTCTACGCCGCACGGTCGTGCAAGGCATGTGCAGCCATTCGGGCGTGTGATATTTGTCGGCAACTGCCTCCACCAAGCACGCCGCTGCCGAGCTGTTCCCTGTGCACTACTCTCGCTCTGTGGTGCCGCGCTCATTCCAGCGACGACGAGAGACAGTCCGGCCTGTGACGCCGCCATTTTGTTGAACTTGTGTGCGGCTACTGTTACCGGGAAGCAGATCCCATCACCGGTGAGAAATTTGTTGTTTCTCACGGACCGTGCGCCACCACAAATTGCCCTCGTTCTGTCCGTTTGTGCACCCTCTGTTCCAAGCACTTCCTCGATTCGCAGGCCTTGTGCGACGCGTGTTGGACCGCTTCAGGGACCCTCTGCATTATCTGCGGCAAGAGGCCCGCAAGGCACGCCCGGACTTACATGCACTGTTGCCAGACGTGCTTCGCGGGACAGTCGCCCGCCATGCTTGCAAAGCTGGTGCAAGTCGAAAGTGAATCGTACATGGACTCGCTGCCGCCCGCCCAATCGTGGACCGGCACAAAACCAGCTCTTCGACTGCTTCTGCAGAAGAACCGCTCGCAGGATGCGTTGCCAGCGTGCTCGGCCACGCCCGATTACCTACACCCCGAATGCTGCCGCTTGTGTCTCGTCCACGTGCGGGCCGAGGACCTGCCCGCCCACCTCGCCGAGATGCACCGCGACGTGCTCGACCCCGCGTGTGACGTACTGGACTCCTACCGGAATGTGATACCTCAACGATCCCTCACGGCGTGGCCTACGCCCATCAGTCCTCAAATTGTGAGGGCACGCCTGGCTGCGTTCAAAGCGGAGCTCACCGATGCCAACTTTACCATGGCACCTTGCGCAGTCTGCGCCTGGGACAAGCGCCGATGCAAACTCCAAACGACGTACCTGCCGGACCCCTCAGACGACGCGTGCCCCGACTGGCCGCAGTGGCCCACCGACGTCTGGACTGCGCACAAGGACGCTTGGCACGCGCGGCTGGACAACGTCTTCAGCGTCGACCGGTACATGGAACTGATCTTCTGCGAGAGTGAGTGGCTGCGAGAAGCAGAGCTCAACGTCGCCGCTCTGCTTAAAGGAGAGGAAAGTTCTTTGGGCTTCACTACAGCCGATGCTGCTCGAAGCTGGCATGAGAGGGTTCAGCGCTTGGCGGCGGCTGTACGCGCCGACCTCGTGGCGGACTCCACTGCTGCGCCCGGCCACCCCGAAAGGCGTTGGCTGCTGTGCCGCCCGGGCATTTCGACGTCCAGCGCCGACGGCAAGGGCGCCGCCTCCGGCGCCGCGGCGAACATGTGCAAGCATTGCGCGTCCGCGCTGCGGGAACTGATCGGCCCCCGTGACGATCGCCGCCCGCGAGTTCGAGTGCCTCTAGCTGCTCTGGCGAACGGGATGTGGAGAGGCGCCGACCCCCGTGAATTCGTGGACCTCACGTACGCTGAGTGCAAGGTCATCAACCTCGCCAAAGTGTATGTCAGCATCAAACGCGCGTTCCTCAGCAAGGCGCCCGACGCTCCTACGGCCACTTCGGAGGCGCCCACGTACCACCAGAAGAACGTGGTGGCTTACCCGCAGAGCCCCGACACTGCACTGACTGCCATAGGCATGCTGCCTGCGGCCCTTGCACAGACCATGGTGATCCAGTTCGCGGGTGGGACGTTTGACGATCTACAACGACACCCGGACCTCCAGGCCCCCGTTCTCCGCTTACGCGCGGCGTTCCGGTGGCTGTCCCTCAACAATTGGATGTTCATGTTCGCCACCAGGCACCATGAGATCTGGCGCTCGGGCACCTTGCACGCCGCCCTGGAGGCCCTACTCAGTGCCTACGCCAGCAGCATTGGAAGCTCCTCCGGCGTTCCGCGGGAAGTACTCTCCGCGGCAACTGCGGCTTCTGCAGCAAAAGCTTCGGTGGCGTCGGGAGGCCCAGCTGACTGCACCGACAGTGGCGCCCGCGAGACAGACCCGACTGAAACGGCTGACGATGGTAACGCCGCCGTTGTGAACGGGGGCATGGACGACGTGCCAGCACTCCGCTTGCGGACGCGGGTCGTGGAGAACTTCGACGTTGCATCGCGCCTCCATGATGAGATCCATAAGTTGTCGGAGGGCCACGACTCATCCGCTCGCGCGCAGATGAAGATGCGGCGCAATGAAGCCCTCGCCAAAGCAGTCGAGGCAGTGCAACGGATGTCCCGCGACTCTGTCCGGAGGGAGTTGGACGAGTGGGCGGCGCAAGAGAAGGTCGACGCGCCTGCGGTGCAGATCGCCCACGGAGACCAGTTCCTGTCCTTGCGGGCCGAGAACTTCTGGGCGGCATGCTTCCTCCGACTCTTCCCGCGAGGAGACTGTCAGGAAACGTGCCCCCAGCGCCCCGCTCGCCTGCCCGCAGCAACGTGGGCGAAGACGTTGCTCACGCGAGCCGAGACTGTTTGCTGGCGCCGCGACGTCGAGTTCGTGGCCACGCTGTTCAACACTTTCCTGCGGCGCGACCAGATGGCCAGCGTCGAGGCCCACGTGAAGTCCACGGCCAGCGACGGCATCGCTGGCATGACACCGGGCCAAACCACTGCGCTCGCGCAGCTCACTGCTGAAGGCCTCGTCTCTTCCGCCGCGGCCGCTGGGGGCGCGGCCAATCTCCGAGATCTGCTTCGACAGCAAGGGCTCGATCCCGTCGTCCGCAACGCCGCTCACCGGATGCCCCTCGCACTCCGACGTGTCCGCGGATCCGCCGAGGAGCGAGAAGGATTCATCTGGCGATTCCGGACTCTGCGCATATGGTCTGGATGCGCATCGCTCTTCTTCGCCCTGAACCCGCGCGACATTCGGGGCCCCCTCACTGTGCTGTTGGCCCAGGACGACGCGACCGCGTCCCGCAAGTTCTCCCTGGACATGACCGACGACAAGGCAACCCAGTGGATGACCGACTTCAACCAGGAGGACCCGCGACGCCTTCACCGAGCTGTGGCGAAGGACCCGCTCATTGCCACGCGCGTCTTCCACTGGACCGTGCGGCTCGTCATGCGCGCATTGTTCAACTGCACTGGTGCGCCCGACGAGCTTAACTGCGACGGGATCGCCGCAAAGAGTTTGCCCGGCATCGTCGGGCACGTTCGGGCGCACCTCGGCGTTGCGGAAGGACAGATGCGCAAAGCGCTGCACATCCACATGCTCATTCAGCTCGTTGGATTCTCTCACCCTGACGACCTCTTCCAAGGCGACCACCTGCAGAACACGTTCCGACGCGCCTGGCATTACATCGCTTCTATAACGTTCCGCAGCACGGAGGCGTTCGCTCACTACGCGAAGGACCCGCTCGGACATGCCGCCCTTCAACAGTTGCCGTTGCTGCCGTTGACGAAATCGCAGCGCGAGAAGATCGGGGGCGTTCGCACGGCCGCCAGCAACGCCGCCCAGTGGCATGGGCGGGGCCTCGAAGGCAGAAGTCGATGGAAAGGGGTACCCAGCTAAAAGATTACACGGGGTGGTGCAATACGTTTAGTGCAACAGTCCCCGAGGGCGCAAGCGAATTGCACCGCGCAAAGCATTTCGGGGCGCAAATGTCTACCTGGATCTGTGCGTGACATCCCTTGCTTGCAATGCAACGCAATGCTTTCTGGTTGCAGTGCATTTACCACCAACAGCCATATGCATATACATTTACATATATGTACTCGTACATACCATTACACAAATATGTATACATACATGTATGCGTGTACTGCACTACACCCTTTTCACTGGACGTAAGCTGGCCTCCCTTTCCGCCGATCCGAAAGGACCCGCTGCGTGCGCCGGCAACGTCGCCGAGTTCGCGTTCTTCCCGACGTCCTTCTCCTCCGACCCCAGCGTCGACAGCGGGGAGTGGTCTATCAAGGCCGTGCAGGAAATCTTGTCGCGGACCAGGACCTGCCGCCTGCTCGTAGGGTTCCGTTTCTTGGAGGCAGTAGCAACAGCAGCTCAATGGATTCCCCCCCTCGACGTTTTCCGTGTTTCGACCACTGCCCATCCCCCGAAACGTTTCTTGGCAATTCTGGGGGTGCGGCGACAACAGAATACCCCCTTCCAACCAAAACACGAGTGTTTTCGTGGACCTTGTCTGAACTAGCTGCGGCCTCCATGAACGCGCACCCTCTGACCAGACGATCGACAGGAAAATTGGCAATCACGTCTGTCGGCCAGCAGTTTGTCACAAAGGGCGACTCGGCAAGAAGGGGTTCTGCCGCATGCACTATTGGCATTGGGCTAGACAGACCGACGCAAAGACAGGGAAAGAGATTGCCAAACGTCAGCATGGCTTGGAATTACACGCTCGATGGGATGGCACTGGCGAGCTGCCGATTCTGCGTTACCCGCCACACGTGGGCCTTCCAGCGCTGGAAACAACGCATCCGTTCCACTTCCGGCTGAACCCCGCCATCATGCTGGGCCCGCAGTGCAACCACGACTTGGCGGTCCTGCTGCCGTTCTGCGAGCTCCCCGCGAACGACGCCGACCTCCCGAATGAAAGCCGCGTTGCCCAGGTGAAAGCAGCGATGGCCGAAGCAATGGGGGACCACGAGTATTACGCCTCGGCGTACTCGGCGAAGTCGCAGCCGCGCGCAGACGGCCTGAAAATGACGTTGGCCGCGTCGCTCGAGAGGAAAGAACGTGCGGCACAGCTGGCAGCTGCGAAGGACATGGTCGATGACCAGGAGAAGGCACGCAAATTGTTGCACACGCTGGTGGCCGCGACCAACAAGCGGATGCACAAAGGGTTCCCCGAGATGATCAGTTACCTTTTAGGAGAGCCCATCGCGCACAGCAGCCATGCGTTTGCCCCGGTCTTTTTCGGGGAGCTCCTCGCTTTCATTCGCGCCACGATGTCCCAGACAGCTCGCGGTGAACCTCTCCAGACAGACCACAGCCAACCGCGACCGTATGCTACGAAGTGGACCCCAGCAAATCTCCACATCGGCGAGTTGGACTACGTGCGCAGGCCGCAAGAGCTGGAACACTTTCCCCTCTACTTCTTCTTCGCGGCTACGACGCCAAGATGCCCGTTGGCAAGAAGCCCCCGCCAGAATCTCTCCAGTGGCTCAGGGGCGGCGGCCGCCGGCAGTACACGGCCGCGCCAGTGACCAGCGCTACTTACGACGGAGCGCCGCTCCGAGGAGCTCCGACGGACGCAGAGCCCAACGGGGAAGTACTTTACAAGCACGCGTACTACATCTCATTGCGTGTGACAAAGCCGTGGAAGGTGCCCATCCTCTACGGCAAATTGCCTGGTCGGCCTGCCAGTGACGACCTCCTGGACGAGTGGTTCCTCTATGCGTTGAACGTGATGGTTCTGTTCAGGCCCTTCAGGTCCCTGTCAGATTTCGCGTCGCGCATCACGTCTACACCGCGGCCGCATGGAGAGAACGCATTGCAGACAGCCGTCGTGCACGACTTCCGCGCATGGGAAGTGTCGACCCGAGAGGTGGCTCGAAAGTGCACTGCGGAGACGCCCCCTCTGACTCCAGAATGGTGGGCGCACAGAATAATGGACAGCATTCGCAACTACGACTTCGCTTCCTCCAGGAGACAAACCATCAGCGAAGCCGTGCCGTCGAACGTAGAGATGCCATTTCTCCCACCGTGGAACGCCGCCCGTGATGAGGCTGCCAAAGCCGCGAACGACCCGGACACTCTCCTGGAGTCCGACGACGACAGCGACGACGATATCCACCCGCCCGACATTCCCCCGTACGACGAAGACAAGGATCACCCCGCGCCAGCCCCAAGACACCGAGCACCCGACCCGGCAAGCCTCCTCTGCGGCATCTTCCCTGAGGGCGTGGAGATGGATGACGTGATTGCTCCGGCAGCATGGCAGAGAAGCACCGCAGCAGCAGCGAAATACATCGTTGAGTTCATGCGGGAGAATTCCGCCCGGCTGCGAGCGGCGGACGTGGCCTCTAGTGCACCAGTACTCGAGGATGCCGTGCGACTGCGCCCAGCCGCATCTCTGGCGGCTGCGGACCGGCAAGCGGACTTCTTCAAGATGATTGACGCCTGGAAGGCCGAGACGACTACGAGGCCGCAGAAGTCCACTCAGGAGACGCCCGATGGCCTGCAGTGTCGGCTCCAGAAAACCATGGCAGACGGCCGCAGCTCGGCGTTCCCGCCTGTACCTCCGCGTACGCGAACTGCAGTGCTCGACGCATGCGTCCACCTCTTGCGGGCGGGCGTACTGAACGTGGTCGACATGCCCGAGATCAACGTCAAACAGGCGCGCGCGCGCTGCTTTGGAACGCTGCTTGGCTACAGGACGTCATGAACCGCGCGTGGGGGTTCGACGAGCCCTCTGGGCCGACTGTCACAGGGCGACCGTCTTTGGCAGACGGGTTTCAGCTCGCACTCATGGGCCCCGGAGGCACTGGGAAGACGGCGGTTCTGAGAGTCGTCGAAGCAGTCATCTGCTACTTCAACGGCCCAGACACAGAGCAGAAATGCGCGCCATCGAACTCGGCGGCAAGGCTTCTGAAAGGGGACACACTGCACGCACTGTGCAAACTACCGTTTGGCAGCGTGACCGTGTCCAGTAAGAAAGGTCGCCTCACGCGCACTGTCTTGGAGAGCCACCGGAGCCGCTGGGAAGGCGCCCTCGCGTGCTTCATTGACGAAGTGTCCATGGTCGCAGCAGCCCAGCTCTTCCAGGCAGAGGCTCGATTGAAGGCGGCCAAGAGCTCCACCCAGGCTTGGGGCGGCTTGGGCATGACGTTCTCCGGGGACTTCATGCAGCTCCCACCAGCCGACCCGACGGGCGACAACAGGAGCCTCGCCACGGACCTGGACGAGGTTGACGTTTTGAATGAGAAGGGCGAATACGACCAGGAACAGGACGGGGACAAGAAGAGGTCTAAGCACGTGGAGACGGTGCAAGGACTGCAGCTGTGGCGCCGCGTCCGGAAGGTGGTGACGCTGGAAGTGAACGCCCGCGCCCCTGGCCCACTCAGCCAGCTGCTGGCGGAGATGCGTGCTGGCAACATCTCGGACGCGATGTGGGCCTTGTACACCAGTCGCATACTATCTTCCGAGGACACCCGCCCGCGCGATCCCGCGTCGCTCTTCTCCACGCACCCCTGGACATACATCGTCCACAGGCACAAGATTCGCGTCTACCGATCAATGCAGCACGCTAAACAGCAAGCACTGCGGACGGGCCGCCGCCTCTACGTGGTCCAAGCCCGCGACGAGCCAGTGGACCCCGCCGACGCTCACAAAATGACAGAACAGGTCCATAGAGACCTCCTGCAGAGGGTTAGCCCGAAAGATACGCAGGACTTGCCGAGTCTTTTGCCACTGTACATCGGAATGCGCCTGACTATGTGCTCCAAAGACTGCGTGCGGCTGGGCCCCATGAAGGGCTGCGTCTGCACGCTCCGCCGCATTGTCTTCGCCAGCGGGGAGCCGTTCCAGTCGGGCCCAGTGGACGAGAACGTCGTGCACGTACAGTTCATGCCCGTTTCCCTCTGGCTGCAGGCTGACGGCGGCGACTGGGAACTTCCTGCGGCCGACTTGGCTGCGGACCTCCCAACCTGCACGGACCGGCGCGGCTTGTTTCAAATGAGACCGACGTGCGGGCATTTGCGCGCGGCGTGGGAGGAGGAGCACTTCTCTGTCCGCCGCACTACTTACCGTTTATTGCCAGCAGATACGATTATTGTGTACGGAGCTCAGGGGGGCACATGCGTAGCCGTGGTGGCTGACATGAAGAAGCCGCCTTCCATGGACGCAGATACGCATTGGCTGGCGTGCTACGTGATGCTCTCGCGCGCAATCTCCGTGGAGAGCCTTTTCATCCTACGCCCGGCAACCAGGCGAGAACTTTCCCGAAAGCCACCGAAGTTCCTGCTAGACGAGATTACAAGGCTGGCCGACATGGAGACGTCGTCGCTCGATGACCTCATCCGCACTTTGCGGGACATGACTGGAGATGCCTTGCCCGACGACCTGATGGACCACGTCCTCGCGAGCGATGGCGCGTCGCGCCAGGCATCCCGGGTAGCCTCATTCCGAGCTAACCGCCCTGCAAGACACCAGCGGCGCGCGACAGCTTTGCCGCCGCCCTCGCGCTCCGAGGAGGGCCGCAGTGTGCTTCGTCGAACGCGCGGGAAGACGCCGCCGCCAACGTTGCTGCCGCGGGCAGGAGACACGAGGGACGCCGGCGGCAGCGCGGCGGAGCAAGCCAAGACATTGTCTGCGCTGCCCCCATTGAAGAAGCCGCGGCTAACGGAGAGTACCGCGGCGCAGGTGCCGCCGCCGCCCATAGCGCAGGATTCTGTCCCAGGAATGGCAGTCGATGCACCTACTGGCCATCAGGCGCAGTCCAGGCACCCAGCACCGATTGACGACGCTCTCTTCGACGCGGCACCACCGACGACACGAACGCCGTCTCCGAGCGCAACCTCGCCGTCGATGGTTCCGTCGTCTGCACCCGTCCGCCCGTGCGGCGAATGCGGCTCGCCGGAGTGCTGCGTCGACAACGAGCGGTGCCCCTACTTCCTGCTATCACCTGCGTCCAACTCGCGCGCCCGACTGCAGTGGGCACTTGGCGCCACCCACGCCGTGTCAGACGCACTTTGCACCCGCGTTGCAAAAGTTGGATCTTCCAGTTGTTCCACGATGTCCGTGCACAGCGTCGAGTTCGGCGGCGGCGGCGACTGCCTCTTCTACAGCATCGCTGGAGTGCTAGCTCGCATGGTCGTCGCTGGTGGCCCACCTGCGCGCCACATATTGAAGACTCTATCATCGCGAGTTTTCCTCCAGGGCAAGGATGCCGTCATGCGAGCACTCCGACAACTGTCCGCTCGCATATACTTTCGCTGGACACCGGAGCAAGTGCTTGACTTCGTAGTGTCCGCTTGTATGCAGCACCGCGCGGGGATGCATGAAGACCTGTGGGTTCCACTCGATGTTCTTCGCCAGTGCTCTCTGGACTGCCTCGCGCACGTGGAGAGCGTGCTCGCGTTCGAGGAAAGATCCGACGGGAGTGCCGTTGCCCGGGTGGCCGTGACAGCTGCGCGACGAGGAGGGCGCGATCGCGACGAAAGCCTGATCAGCATACCAGACGGCACGGCGCGACTGCAGCACCTTCGACAAAGCATTGCAGCTTGCATGGCCCAGCCTGGAAATATGCACTGGGGCACACAAACAGACGTCAACAGCCTCAGCGAAGCCCTCGACATCGGCATCTTCTTGTTCCGGAACAGATTACTGGCACAGGCCTGGGGTTCCCAAATCGAACTGGACCAGGGACGTCATGGCTACTCCCTCCGGGCAGCCCCGTCTTGAACCCTCGGGCTCTTGCGCCCGACGGTTCGAGGCTCACCTGCTGCTGCGCGAGAAGCCCAAACTGCCTTGGCCCTCGTCACGTTTCGGAACCCCCGAACCAGGCGTCAACTTGCTTATACAACACGTGTAGCCAGCGCGACGACTACCCTTTCTGGATTTCCCTGTGGTGGGACGAGCCTTTTCATTTCAGAGGTGCTGAACTACGTATTTCACATCGTGCCAGCGCCCACGCGCACCCATCCACGGAGGCACAGACGTCCTTCTGGGCAGCCGCAAACGCACCACCATTTCTACTTCACGAATACGCAGAATGTAATCGCTTGGCGAACTGATCGCAAAGCCACCTGCCACTGCACTTGCATTCCCTGCGGAGGCGTTCCTACGAGCATGCTGTTGCTGCCGTACAGCGTTCCGACGCCACGATTTGTGCGCATAGCGAATGACTTATTCCCGTCAATCCTGCAATCGACAACGAAAAAACGACGACGAGAAAAACGAGCACGGGGACGAAGACAATAATGAAGAAAACGGAAGCCACTACGAAAGGAAATGCGTCAGCAAATAAGATGACGTCAGCGACGACAAGTACACGAATCAACCGTCCACACCTTTGCGAAGAAGAGCGCCTGAGAGGCGCCCACAGAGCACCAACAATGCCAGAGGAAACTCCCATATCACCCACGACAACCTCAAGACGGCCCCAGAGAACGCCAAGATGGCCCAAGAGAATGCCCGCATATACTCTCCAGGAGCGCCGGGACAATCTCAGGGGCCAAAGATATTCCTGAGAAGCTCCAAAAAAATAACCCACAGGCCTTTCAAAAGGCGCCCTAAAGACCACAAGAGGGCCCGAGGAGCCCCAAACGGCCCACCAGGTCCATCACGCGCCGAGAGCATGCTGGTCGGAGAGCATGCTGGTTCGACCAGCACGTCAGACCAACGCGGCAAACCAAAAGGCCGTTTTGCTCCAGCCATCCTCAAAAATTCGGTGCTGGGTAAGAACCTGAACGAACATGGGCCCAAAAGCACCCCAGGAGGCCTCCAAGAGGCGCCTGGAAAGCCCCCAAAACCACCCTAAGGACGCGCCAGCGATACAGAAAGCGCCTAGAACCCCATAGACTGCCCCACACAGCTCCCAGCGTGGCCTAGAGCGACACTACTGCTCTGCACGAACCCCCACGGAACCCCAAAGCTGCGCCCGCACGCCCCGAACACCCCGAAGGCGGTTCGCAAGGAACCCCAAAGGCGTCGCCTTTACCCCTTCGTCCTCCCTTGTCTGCCTCATCCTCTCCCCCTCCTCATCCTCCTTTTTATCCTCCTCCTCCACAGCCGCCGCTGCAGCCGCCGCCGCCGTCGTGGTCGCCACTCGTCCGTCGTCCATCGTCGTCGTCTTCATTTGCGTGCCACGGCCTGGGGATGTTCTCCTAACTTTTCTGCCTCCGAAGGCTGCTTTCGGCATCCCCAGCCGTCTGGGATGAACGATGACGTCCATGGCTTTGAACGCCATTCTCCACCTCGTCCTCGTGCTTCCACAACGACAAACACCCCTACGAGCACAAATGGCGCTTCCCGTTCTTGTCTGGTCAGGTTTTTGTACCCTCTTGGGGCCCTCTTGGGGGTCCTCTTGGAATCTCCTTGAGGCGTCTTGGAGGCCTCTTGGGCCGTCTTCAGGCCATCTTGGGCGTCCAGGAGCGCTCTTGGGCGTTTTCGGGCGCCTCCTGGACCGTCTTGGTGGCCTCCTGGGCCCCTCTTGGCCCGTTTTAGGGCGGTTTGGGAGTCCCGGGGGGGGGGGGAGAAAGGGTGGACCCGATGAACCCCCCCCCTTCCCCCCCTACCCCGGCAGAGCCCCCCCGGCCCCCGCCCCCCAGCAGAGCTGAAGCTCAGGTTGTAGCTTTCTTAACCTCGCACGCCGGATCTGCGGATTTTCCTTCTCCTTCTCGTCCTCCGCCTCCTGCTGCTCCTCGTCCTCGTCCTCGTCTTCCTCCCTGCTCCCCCTCCCCGTCCTCCTCCTGCGCTCCCGTTCCCCTCTCGCTCCGCCCTCCTCCGGGTGGCCTCCCCGGCTTTGCCGGCGGGCGTGGTGCACGCAACCCCCGTTTCCACATTCACGGCCAGCCAGCTCTACGTGAGCGACGCAAAAAAAAAGAGGTCGTCCGCGCCGGCCTTGGCGCGTAAGCTGCCCGCGTAAGGTCGCGCGTGAGCGCCTTCGTCTCCAAAGTAGCGTGCCGCGCTGGTGCCCCGCGTAAGCCACCGCGTCAGGTCGCTACGCCATCTCGCGCAAAACCCGTTTTTGATCGTCGCTCGCGTGAGTCTGGTCGTGCCAACTCGCGACCAAGCGAGAGGGTCCGTGACCTCGTCGGGCAGATTGTCTCTCCTCAAGGGAGGAAAAACCACCCAGACCGGACAACTGGCGTTTACTGAACGGCCCTGGGCGTTTACTAAATAGCCCAGGCCTTGCTCGATTCCTTCATTGGGTGCATTTCCTAAACGGCTTCGCGTGTCGGGGTGGTTATTCTGGGGGTGGACGTTTTTCGGGGGTGGACAGAACCCCCAACAGTGACACGTCGATTAGTGAATTGTCCGTTTTCGGTTCTCGAGAGGGCGCCGTGGCCGTTATGTTCCAGGCTTGCGTCCGCCAGGTCTGGGCCTCAGGTCGTTTTCACTAAACCACGTTTTACTAAAGGGGGGTCTGTCCATCCCCGATTTCTGACCTCGGATCAGTCGAGAGGTCCCGCCCCCCCTTCGTGCAGAGTGCCTCTCTCCCTCGCCCTCCCGCCCCGGCTCTCTCTCTGCCGGTGGCGCGCCTCCCCGGCGCGCCGTGTCCCCCGACGGCACGCCCCGTGGCCCGCCGGGAGGTGCACGCCACCCTCAAGAGCCGGCAGCGGGGGGAGAGGCGGGCTCCGGCGCGGCTGCCGCCGCGGGGGGAGCGGGTCCTGAGGGGGACGGGTCCTCTCGGGGGCGGCAAAGAGCTTGGCATCGCTCGGGCGTGTGTACCTTTTCCTTCGGCGAGGACCATCGAGGAGCATCCTTGATCATTTGGCGGAAAAGCCACCCACGAAACCGGAAAAAAACACAGGGAATGGACGTCCTAGCGATGGCTAGATGAGGGGGGTGATGACTAGGGGGAGGGGGGGACATCATGGCGGGGGCCATGACATCTCCCCAGATTTCATGGCGCCTTCTCTTATGTCAATGCGCCCCTGGCCCCCGACCCCCCTGGTCCGCGCACATGCTGCCGGCCATGATTTGCGCCCCCCCTCTTGGACACCCCCCTCTTGGCCGTCCCCGATCCTTCGAAGCAAGCAGGCGACGACGGGTCCCGTTTCCAGGGGAAGCTGCGGATTTCCGCCGCCGAGCGAGGCGGCACCGGCCGCATTTTGGGGAGAGCACCTCCCCCGATCCATGGGTTTGGCGACCGCGCGCCAAATCCATGGATCGCCAACCCATGTCTGCGCGCCCCCGATCGAAGAAGGAAAAACTACATGAGAACACAAACTGTTGGCGCTCCGCGCGGAGTTCTTGGATCCGCGCATGTGGCCCCCCACGGCGGCGCCTCCGGCGCCGCCCCTGGCGCGCTCCGCGCGCCAGGGAGGGGGGTCCAGCGCAGATCCAAGGAGTCCGCGCGGAGCGCCAACAGTCTATGTCTACGCCGTTGTCTCTAGGGGGCCACATGCGAACCCTGCTCCTACTCCCCACGATCTCCGAAGGGGAGGGTGGGTTTTTCACTTCGCTCGGGAGCTCGCGAGCGAAGCGAACCCCACCCTCATCCTTAAGAATCGTGGGGGGGGAGGGGGAGGGCTCGCATGTGGCCCCCTAGAAACAACGGCGAGTTGTGAGGATGTCTCAAGCGAAACGGCCCCGGACCATCAGATGTTTGTGGGGATGTCTCTGCTCCCCTTTTCCTCGGCCGGAGTCAGTTTCTATCACAACAGCACCCCGTTCAGCAAACAGTTTATGTTTACGCGGAGGCGGGGTCCTGAGGGACACGGGTCCCGAGGTTCCTCGCCGGTGCTGGCCTCCCCGGGGCCCTCCGCGGGCTTCCGGGGCAGCCAGCGGCTCGGGAGGAGGAGCTGGCCCCGGGGGGGAGGCCCCCAGGGCCCAGGGCCCGTTTCCTGCAGGGCCCGCCTCCCTCCTTCGCCGAGCGCGTTCCACGGCTGCCGCTCGCAAAGTGTATCTTTACGCCGTTGTTCCTTCGTCCAGAGGCGGGGTCCTGAGGGACACGGGTCCCGAGGTGCTGCGCCGGGGCTGGCCTCCCGGGGCCCTCCACGGGCTCTGGGGCAGGCAGCGGCTCGGGAGGAGGAGCGGGTCCGAAGGGGGAGGCCCCAGGGTTATGTCGGGCATGTCCCCCAACAGGGGGATTTTCGACGAAAACTAAGAAATACCCCGAAAATGCCCCAAAATTGTCAAAAAATATTCCAAACATAGTCCACAGACTATTCTTGGATTCTTTTTAGATTATTTTTGGGGTATCTTTTATTTTCCGTCGAAAATCCCCTTGTAGGGGGACAGGCCCGACATAACCCCAGGGCCCAGGACCCGTTTCCTGCAGGGCCCGCCTCCCTCCTTCGCCGAGCGCGTTCCACGGCTGCCGCTCGCAAAGTGACGACTCGCGGGCGCCCGGCCACGAAGAGCGCGAACGAGCGGGGGCCACGAAGGGCAGAGAGTGCGGGGCCACAGAAGGCAACGATGGGGCCACTGAGGGCAGCAAGTGGGCCACGTAGGACAGTGAGGGGGCCTCAAACGGCGACAGCGGGGCCACGAAGGGCATGCACATGAGGCCACAACGGGCGCGAACGAGCGGGGGCCACGAATGGCATGCGTATGTTGGGCCGCGGAGGGCAAGGACGGGGCCACTGAGGGCAGCAACGGGGCCACGAAGGGCATGCATATGGGGCCACCACGGGCGCGAACGAGCGGGGGCCACGAAGGGCATG